GGGGGGGGGCTGTCTTAAATAAGGGTGTGAGACCCTGTAGAGAAGATAATGAAATGCTTATTTGAATGCCTATCAGTAGACATTGAACATTAGGCCTACTGGCACTTTTGGAAAGAAATTAGGGTAATGGATAGGAAATTTGATAACAAACATGCTCATGAGAAATAGTTTCAATTGTTTCTGTATAGTTCCTTTTTAATTGGAGTTCAGTACTAAAATATATATGCCTTTCTTTAAATGTTGGAATGATATTTTCAAGCTTTGAACTCTCCGCCGCTCCCCCCCCCCCCCCCCCCCCCCCCCCCCCCCCCCCCCCCCCCCCCCCCCCCCCCGCTCAACCGCCCCTTACCCGCTCCTTCACCCCCAACTCGCATCACTTTTAAAACCCAATGCCTGTGTTTTATAAAATTATTTAACTTTAAGTTTTTCATTGGTTTTAAGGTTATTTAATTTTACTGGTTATTTCATGTGCTTTTAACATACTTCATTAAGTGTGGTATATATATGTACAGTAGCGTTATGTATAAAAATACCAGTGTTGAGCTTCAGTGGGTATTATGTATGGTCTCGCGAGAACTCACGAAGGTTTGTTGTCGTCTCCTTAGTGACCTGTCAACAATGACGTCACACGCACTTGTCTGCACGGTAGCCATTTTCTATTTTGATTGATTGAAGGACTGCTAAGCCGCTGACAGCTCAAAGATTATTTGCAAAAACTCGAAAGAATTTCGAAGAAATAAGAACAATAGCGTTTTGGGAGTATTAACCGTATCATTTCGAAGTGGATATCATTAGGATTTAAAGGATTTACGAAGGAATAATCTATCAAATTGAGCTTTAGTGGCACGCGAGCTTGCCGAGACAGGTAGTTACTTTTATTGACTCGGAAAATTTATGGACTTACCTGTTGGCAGTGTATAAACCTGCGTTCAATTGGGCTTATAAAACAGCAGGAAGACTGTGGTATCAGCACACTACCGTGAAATTGGCTAAATTAGCTACCGAAGTACACGGCAAGCGGACGGCAACAACTTTTAAGGGTTCACCTGCTTACTTCCATACTGTTACATTTAGAAAAGTCTAGAACTAGAAGTTGTTCCTGAAAATAGAAAAAAATGGATAGAACAACTTCAGCTGGTTATCGTTTTCCAATAACTCAAAATCGTTCCACTAGTGCCTACCACGACCGGTGCATTCCAACCGACTCGAAGGTCCAGACGAACTTCGCCGAACCTTCCAAGGCCTATTCCAACGCCGACTACGAGAAGTGCGACCAAGTGACCCAGGATACGATATGGAAGCAGAGTGTGGCCAAGGAAACCACCGGCGCCAAGCAATGGAGCGAAAACTGGGGCTTTTTGACTGAGTTTGACCCTAAGGTAGGGACTCATTTAAATATTCCGAGTTTTTATTTTATTACTTACAGGTATTTCTCAAGCCTCTCCAAGCACTCCGAGTCCTTTTGCTCAGCGCTAGCACAATTTTAAAATTGGAAATACTGTACAGTAAATGAATAAATTTATTTACGCTGGAGGTGTATTAATAAAATAAAGGATGCAATGTTCAGTCCGTTTTTACAACCGACATCTCTCACATACACTGTACTGTACATGCATTCTGAATTTTATTTATATAGCTAGCTACTTACATCTATAACTCAGTTCTCTCCAAGCTCTCCCATTCGAGTTACTCATCCGCAAAGCATTCTAGCACAGTGGGAAAAGAGTGAAAATTAAATAAATGTAGAATTAAAAAAATAGTTTCATTAAAGAAATACATTGGAGGTGAATTATTCAGACAAGCAGTGATAGTTCACTCCTTTTTTATTCCCCCCCCCCGTCCCCCCTCCCACCCATAAACACACACACACATGCATACACATGTTAACTTGCATATATTAAGTGTCTGTGACTTTCAAGTTAATTAAAATTAATTTTTTTTAGTTATTTTTATTATATTATGTCCAGTAGATCTGTATGTTATTACAAAAGTCATAATACTTAGTTTCAGTGAATTGATTATTATTATTATTATTATTATTATTATTATTATTATTACAGGGCAACCCAAAAGAGAAGGAACCTCTCCCAGAAACAGCCACTCGTTTCTCTGATAACGTCCCAAACACAAACTCTGGAAATTACGGCAGCAGACTGAATACTGACCTCGGAAAGAGGATGCAAAATTTGGAATTCCAGTTTTATGCTGAAGGCAGGAAGAAGAAGCTTGATGGAGATATTATATGCTATTAGATATGCACTCTAGCAATTTCTTTTATTTGGAAGGGCCAAAAAATATTTTGAGATGGGGCATTATCCAGAAGTGATATTTCTGGTCCACGTTATATTGTGATGTAGGGCCAAAAGTGGTCCAGTCAAGACCCAGTGTTTGAAGAGATGAGCTTGGAAGCACGGCATTAGTTTTAAACTCATAAAAACACGAACAGGCTTGGTATAGATATGCTAGCCACAGTTGCAACGCTTCATCCAACTAATCTTGGGCCAGCAACTTAGTGACAACCATTGCATTATGTTGGAGCCCATCTTTCATGCCAAAGAAAGGGGAGCATCTCCTTCTCCCCCCCCCCCCCCTCCGAGTCCCATTATTAGTCATACAAAATGGTGCAAGATGGATAGACATGATATTTTAATAAAATGTTATATAACAAGTGAATGTGATACAGCTATCAGGCCCGTAGCCAGCAGTTTCAAAAGGGGGGTTCTTTTTCTGAAAAAGTGGACCTTTTCCCATAAAAACTTCATGTACCTAGATCAAATTTTACCCAGAGTGGACCTTTTCCCAGCAAAAGGGGCGGTTCTTTCAAACCCC